GGAGCCTCTCTCCCCGTCCCCTCCCTCAGCCCCTGCCCCGAGCGGCGCCGGATTCTGGGCTCCCGCTGTTCCGAGACCTACGGCCCCCTGGCCCCCTTCGAGACCTCTGATCCCGCCGGACCCCGGAACACCAGGGACGATCGTCGGGACCCTGCCCGTGACTCTCCAGGACTCCGCGACCCCGAGCCATTGCTACTGGGACGGATATTGTGAATCTGGTCTCGACTCTGAAACCTTCCCTTGGATCTCTGTGACCTCGGACCCGTGCTCTGCCCACCCTGTCTCCATCCGGGGGCCCTCCCTCAGGTCCCCGGCAGAAAGACTTTTTCCCCTCTTGCCAAAATAAAGCGGATTCGTTAAGTTTTTATCTATAAAATGGCCTCTTTATATCTCGATGGTGCTCAGAGGCGGGGCTGAGCATGAACTGTTCCAAGCTCTGGACCTCAGTGTGTCCATCTGTGAAATGGCATTTGGGGAGGGGCCTTCACGTTGGCCCAGAATCTGGGAGAACTGAAGATATGAATCATCTAACAGAACCCTCTTACTGCGCCGCTCCTTTATTTTCACCTTCTCTTCTCCAGTCAGAGCTAGAGGCGCCCTCCAGTGGCACGAGCTTTGCTCAACCACCTGTACCCCGAGTTTGGGTTACGATTTTGGCACTGCGCATGTGTGATTCTCTCTTCGCAGGCCAAGGAGGCCACTGCTGCGCACGCGTGTGGGAACAAATGGGCGGGGAAGTTTCCGGAAGTCTCCCTTTGTGGAGGGGTGGGGTTGGATGCTCTGCAGTCCTCCCAGGGCCGCTCTGACCTGCGGCTCCGCGACTTCTCGTCTCCTCTCCATCTTTCCTCCCACAGCGGCCGCTCGGCCCCCGCCCCCTCGCCCTCCCAGCGGGTCTTCCCAGGCCGCTCTGGCCCGAGCGTCCCCTCGTCTCTCTGATCTGGCCCATCCGGCTCCGGAGGGAGGTGCGGGTGGGTGAGCCAGGGAGTGCGTCTATGGGGTCCAGGCCTGAGCCCCTAAAGACGGGCTCCGCCCCCGACACCCGCTCGCGCCCCGCCCCCGGCTGGAGGGGTCTCTCCCGGACCTTCCGGGTCTGGCCCGGCAAGACCCGCACCCTCTATAGAGGCCCCCGCCGGGCTGTGGAGCCCTTCGCTCCCTGGGGACCCACCCGTATATAAGGTCCGTTTCGGCCTGCAGCGGCTCGCGTCTTTTACTGCTGGACACCGTTTATGGGGTCAGCTAGCCTATGGGGGCCCGTGACTATAAGCGACTCCCACGGTCCCTAGGGCTTGGCCCCATCCATAACGACCCCATTTACAGGCCCTTTCGTGGGTCTATAGGATCTACTCCTCGGTTTCCACAGCCCGTCTACAGCGGCGGCTCCCTTCTGGGGGAGTGCAACTCCTGGACCTCCCTGGTCTACAAGGCCATGTCGCGTCTATAGAGGTCACATTTGCAGGGCCTCGCGCCGCGTGGAGGGTCCTCTCCAATCTTTACGGCCTGTCCCGTCTGTAAGTCAGTGCGGGAGGCGGATATGGCCCTGCGCCCGGCTCTGGCCGTGGCGCTGGCTCTATCTTTGGCCCTGCTGGGGCCGCTGTCCCCCGGGGCCCAGGCAGGGGACTGCAAGGGGCAGCGGCAAGTGCTGCGGGAGGCGCCAGGCTTCGTGACCGATGGTGCGGGCAACTACAGCGTCAATGGCAATTGCGAGTGGCTCATCGAGGGTGAGTGGGGCCGCGTGGGTCACACACTCACCCATTCGCTAATTCACTCATCTGTACACTCATTAATCCACTCACCGCATTCCCAGACTCCGGTTCTGGTCCAGGTCCTTTGCTCTGAAATGCAGCCAACCTGGGCCCTGCCCTGGAAGGCCTTGAAGTCTGGTGGGGGAGTCGCACCCAGACCCAGATGGACAATTACAAGCCAAGAGCCATCAATGAGAGATATTCTGAATAATTGTTAGCAACTCAGGCTCTGAGCCCAACCACCTGCTTCAAATTTGAGTCCCGCTTCTCAGTAGCTTTGTGAATTTGGGCAGGCAGCTTCCTTTCTCTGAGATTAGGCTTCCCCTCTCCCCAAGTGGGGATAATAATAGTACCGACCTCATAGGATTGTTGGAATTAAACGAGAACAGTATTTAACGTGCCTGGCACATAGTAAATACACAATAAATGGCATTAGAATTATGCTGTTGTTATTTTTTATTTTTTTATTAATTTTTAAATGTTTATCTTTGAGAGAGACAGAGTGTCAGTGGGGGAGGGGCAGAAAGAGAGGGAGACAATCCAAAGTAGGCTCCAAGCTCTGAGCTGTGAGCACAGAGCCTGACATGGGGCTCGAACTCACAAACTGCGAGATCATGACCTGAGCCCAAATCGGACGCTTAACCAACTGAGCCACCCAGGTGCCCCTATACTGTTGTTATTTTTAAAGTACTTCAATAAAAGCATTTTTTGCAGTCATTCATGTGCCAGACATCATACTTGCCACTGGGACATAACAGTGACTAAGACAACTCTAGCGATCCCTGATGACTTGGGGCTTAGAATCCAGTGGGGAAGACAAAACACATGAATAGACAGACAGTGACTGCCCAGAGAGGTTGGGACTGTGACAGAGGAACCCCTGGAGCCTGGGGGAGCCCAGAAGAGGTACCTGGCCTGGTGGCTGGGAGAACAGAGAGGGCTTCCTGGGGGAGGACATGTCTGAGCTGAGCCCTCAAAGACCCACAGGAGTCAGCCAGGAAAGAGGAAGAACGTTCCAGAGGGAAACAGTCTATGTAGAGGCCCCATCACTATCTTTATGGGCTCTTAGTCCAGTGGGAGAAGCAAACTCACCCCCAGGGAATGGGAAGCCCAGAAGACATCTGACTTGGCCTATAGCTCAGATCAGAGGCATGTGTAGGAGGGAACAGAAGGGTGTTCTAGGCAAGGAGAATAGACCATGTAAAGGCCTGGAAGCAGGAGGGTGTGACGCTTTTGAGGAACTAGGACACAGAATAGACAAAGAGTGAACTGGAGGGTGGAGGACCTTGTGGGTTTGAGCTGTACCCTCAAGGGCAGTAGGGAGGTGGAAGAGAAGTCCAAAGGCAGTGGCCAGAAAAGTCCCAGAAGGCCTCTCGGCAGGGGATGTAGAAGCTGGCCTCCAAGGAGAGAGGGGTCCCCCAGAGGAGGTTCTGGGCAAAGGCCAGAAGTGTGATGGCCCAGATGATGCAGGGCCTCCCTTTGCAGGCCACAGAGCATGGTCTTTGCCGGGAGGTGTGGGAGGGTTTTGAGCAGGGAGGGACATGATCTGATTTATATTTTAGATCTCTGTGGCTATTATATGGGGTACGGATGAAGCATGTTTCTTGGGGATGAGTGTGTCTGTCCCCAGCTTGGGGCCCATTCCTGTCTGGGGGTGTGGGTGAGCACAGAATGGGAAGTACGTGTTCTATGTATACATGGTTTTCTGACCTTCAGGAGTGCCAGCCTGGTCGGGGATGGTAAGGACGGATGCAGACATTCATTCCACGAGACAGGAGGAGGTGCAGAGGTTGGGTAGATGGGTCTAGGGGGATGAGAGTATTCTCTTGGGGGTCACAGAGGAGGAGGAGCTCCTGAAATAGGGTTCTGAAGCATGCGTAGGAGTTTACGGGGTGAGAAAAGGGAAAAGAAAAGAGAGGCTGGTGTGTCTCAGGAGCCGCGTCTCGGTTTGTCTGGTCTGGCTGGACTGTTGGCTGAGAAATGAGGGCGCCACAAGCAGGGGAAGAATGGCCTTGAAAGTCATGCTGAGCATTAATGGGGAGCCACAGAAGGATTTTTGAGCAGGATTTTGAACCTCTGGCCAAGTGGGGGGTGGATTGGAGACTTGATGTGCTTCTTTCAGGAGAGAATGAGTTCTGAACTGGGGCGGGAATGGAGGAGGTGGGAAGGGGCAGAGAGCACTGAGGCATGTTTGGGAAGTTTCACCAGTGAGACTTGGGGATCAGCTGGCTGGACGTTGGGAGTAGGGAGGAGTCCAGGCGACTTCCAGATCCCCCTTGATCTCTCGTGCTTCCCAATGCCTATCACCTTTGAGAACCAACATGTTCCCCCATCTTTTAAACAATAAGCAGCTGACCTATTTCCTTTTGTACGACATTTACCCTTTGTTGTAACCAGTCCTCATAACATCCTCCTGAATGAGAGGCATTCTGCTTTTGAAAAGCAGGGGGTTTTGGGGTCGGATTTCTGTCCAGGATGCCATGGGGATTGGGCCCATGATGGGTGGAAGGGGGAGATCTTGAACTTAGGGAGGAACCTGGGGAAAGCAGATGGTGACTGGCCTCTGGCATGCCCTTGACAAAATCACTTGTTGTGATTCTGGGAACCAAGCTTATATTTTGGTTGAGGCTGGCAAGCTCTGGGAGGACTGGTTGCCTGGTCTGGCTGAATCGTTCTTCATTCCCCAGACCATGGTTTGGGGTCTGTGTGATGTTCTCAGGGGCTCTGGTCCGAGCCTGAGAGAGCTGCCAACTTTAGTATTCTTTCTTTTGTGCATTTCTTCATTCCTTCATCCAGTGTTTCCTGAGCCCTTGTTCAGTGCCAGGTCCTGTGCTGGGCAAGGTCAGGGAGGTACCCCAAGATGACTTAGGCCCAGGCCCTGTCCTATGGGTCTCCCCAGCTGCAGAAGGGGCAGACCCAGACATAGATGGTCCTGGCTCAGAGAAATGAGGCTTATAATGGAAAGTGAGAAGGCCAGAGAGAGGCACCTAAGCCAGCCAGGGGGCATCAGGGAAGGCTTCCTGGAGGAGGTGGGGAAGTTTGCTGGTATGAAGGGAATATGTGCTCCAGACAGAGGGAGAGGCTTGTGCAAAGGCCCTGCTCCTGACGGAGTTGCAAGCAGTGGGGTGATGTGAGACCAGGTGAGACTTCGAATGGTAGCTTAGGGAGCTGAACTTTCTTCTGGGGATGGTGGGGAGCCATGGAGGGCTTTTGAACAGGATAGGGCCAGGGCCAGATGCGAAGTTAGGACGATCTAAGACCCTTGTCAGGGCAAGACAGGAGGCCGAGGTGGAGGCTGAATCAGTGGTCCTGGTAAGAGAGGACGAGGCCTAGGCAGGCATGTTAGAATCACTGTGTTGAATCTTCCCACCAGCCTTGGTGGGTGGGGAGAGTATCTCCATTTTACTTCAAGGAAACTGAGGCTCAGAGAGCCTGTGGAGCGAACGCAAGATCACACAGCTAGTGAGTGGTGGGTGAGCACCTCCAGTATGCTGATGAGTGTGGTGAGGGGCATGGGGGAAGGGGCTGGCCCAGGGTCCCCCAGCAGTTCAGGAGCAGAGCTGGAACCCAGGTCTAGTTTCCTGAGCCCCCTAGTGTGAGATGTGGGATGAGAGAACCTTCTGGAATCAAGACCTGGCAGAGAGCAAGAACAGTGACAGTGGCTAGGGCAATGGCACTTACGAAGCGCTAGGCCTCTCCTGTGGTCATAGTTGGATGTCAGCGGGGATTACAGTCATCCAAACACTCACCTGGGCCAGACGTCCAAGAACGCTCCCTCACAGGGCTGGCGGTTGCTGCTGGCCGCCAGCTGGAGGCTCATCTGGGGCTGTCAGCTGGGATGCCTGCACGTGGCCCCTCCATGTGGCTTTGGCTTTTTCATAGCTTGTCTCTCTGAGGCTCTTCCCAGATAGAAGGGGCAAGGAGTCCTCACCTCTCAGTGATAGGAGTGGCCAAAAAGTTTGAATCTACCTCAGTACTGTTATAACCCCACTTTACAAATGAAGGAACACATCCAGAGAGGTTAGCCCAAGGCCACACAGCTAGTAGCTAGTAAGTGGCAGAACCAAGATGTGAGCCTGGGCAGTCTGGCTCAAGTCTGTACCTTTAGCTACTACAGTAAACAGAGATGAGACCTGGGCGGGGGCCAAGAGGATCTGTGGTGCTCCAAGGTTCAGCCTTTGTCCATGGGGCAAGAAACTGGCCCCTTTGTTTGGAGTTCTGATCAGTTCTGGAACGGGGGACCCTCCCAGAGGCCCTTTTCCACCCAGGAGTAGGCTTTTCTGCTCAGGCCTGGACCCTGCCCCTCAGGCTTAGTGTCCGAGGCTCAGAAATAAACAAGAACAACTCTGTGTGACCACGGGGATGGGGTTCTTCTCTCTGCACTTCAGTTTTCCCATCTGAATGGTGGGAGGTGTTCAGCCTGGTATCAGGAGCCCTTTCCAGGGGTGATACTGTAATTCCTTCTCTGGCTCCTGGCCCTCTTGCTGTCACAGGTCTGACCTCCCTGGGCTGTGAGACCAAGAGCCCCTTGAAGGCAGGGCTCAGGTCTGACTCCCCTTTGGGTCCCCAGTGTCATGGGGAGCAGGGCTTGGTGTTCTTGGCTGGGCTGCATGGAGGCCCGGGGAGAGGGTCCGCATCTGAGCCCAGCCCCTCTGTTCTCGCTGCCCAGCCCCAAGCCCCCAGCATCGGATCCTGCTGGACTTTCTTTTCCTGGACACGGAATGCACGTACGACTACCTGTTTGTGTATGACGGCGACTCTCCCCGAGGGCCCCTGCTTGCCAGTCTGAGTGGCAGCACTCGGCCTCCGCCCATCGAGGCTTCCTCAGGCAAGGTCGGTGTGGTCGGACCGCGGGGCTCTGGCCGGAGGTCTAGGTGGAGTTTGGAGGAAAGGGTGATAGAGACGCACAAGGAAACAGATGGGGAGGGGCGGAGGCAGCCAGAGAGACTTGGCATCAGACAGGACACAGGGACAAAGAAGGGTGGAGAGAGACAAAGACAGGAGGTGGGGACTTCTGGGGGGGATGGGGACAGGAGCGGACCCCCTCGCCGTCCAGTCCCCGGAACCCTGCCCGTCTTGTGCCTGCAGATGCTCCTCCACCTCTTCAGCGATGCCAACTACAACCTGCTGGGCTTCAATGCCTCCTTCCGCTTCTCCCTGTGCCCCGGGGGCTGCAGCAGCCACGGGCAGTGCCAGCCCCCTGGCGTGTGCGCCTGCGAGCCCGGCTGGGGGGGCCCTGACTGTAGCCTGCAGGAGTGCCCGGCCTACTGTGGCGGCCATGGCACCTGCGCTTCGGTGAGCCCAGCCCCCGCTGCGTCCCCCTGGGGCCCTGATCTGTGACCACACCTACCGCCCCATCTCCTGACTCTGCCCCTGCCTGAAACCCCCCTGCCACTCTGCCCTCTCCCATGACAGCAACCCCACCAGGGACCCTCCCGTCACCCACAGTACTCCCCTCTTCCTTCCACACCCTGCCCCACCCCACCTTCATCTGGAGCCCCTCTTCTGCCTGAGCCCACTCCCGTCCTGCCCGTGACCTACCTCCCACCTGTGAACCCACCTGCCTTCTGCTTGCCAGATGCTACTCCATCCCCTAACCCAGGCACTCTGTCTGGCCTTGGGCCCCCAGCCCCGACTTCTTCTTCTTCTTTTTAAATGTTTACCTATTTTTGAGAGTGCACAACCAGGGGAGGGGCAGAGAGAGGGGCACAGAAGGGGACAGAAGCACCTCCGTGCTGACAGCGAGCTCGACGCGAGGTTTGAACTCACGAACTGTGAGATCATGACGTGAGCCGAAGTTGGGTGCTCAACTGACCGAACCACCCAGGCGCCCCCTCCAGCCCCACCTTCTGACTTCTGACCACTGACCTCGGGCCTCAGACTGAAGTCTTCCGGCCCAGGCTGACGTTGACCTCACCACTGTGCTTCTTCTCCGACCTCTCCTCTTGTTGTCTGTCCTCATTTTCCTCTCCGGGTCCTTCTGTCTTTCCCATTCCCCTATGTTTGTTGGTCTGTCTGCTTTTTTCTACCTCTCTTCCTCCCTCTTGATGTGTCACTGTGTCCCTTTCTTTCTCTGTCTGTTGGCCTGTCTCCTTCCTATCTCACTCCATCTCTCCTTTCCTGTCCATCTTTTTCCTTCTCCCTTTCTACCCCTTATGTCTCACTCTGGCTCTGGCTCTCCTCCCCCGTCTCTCTTTTTTCCTCTCTCTATCCCTGCCTTTGTGTCCTGTCTCCCCTCCAGCCCCTGGGACCATGCCGCTGTGAGCCTGGCTTCCTGGGACGCGCCTGTGACCTGCACCTGTGGGAGAACCAGGGGGCTGGCTGGTGGCACAACGTGAGTGCCGGGGACCCTGCCTTCTCGGCCCGTATTGGGGCAGCTGGTGCCTTCCTGTCCCCGCCGGGGCTGCTGGCTGTTTTTGGAGGTGAGCAGAGGGGGTGCGTGTCTGGCTCCAGCAGCCTGCAGCCTGTGGCCAGGGCTTGAGGCCATCTCCCCTTCCGCAGGCCAGGACCTCAACAGAGCCCTGGGTGATCTCGTCCTGTACAACTTCTCTGCCAACACCTGGGAGCGCTGGGACCTGAGTCCTGCCCCGGTATGGACCCCGCCTCGCCCCTGCCCTGCTCAGAGGTGCCTGTCCACTCTGTGAGACCCAGCCAGCCACCACCCCACCCCCAACAGAGCGACACCCTCATCCCACGCGTCCCCACCCCTGCAGCTTGATACAGGCCCACCTACTCCTCCCGGTACTGCTTTTCTAGCTCTAATTTCCTTTTTTCTTCCTTTATCTCCTCTTCTGCATCTTCTTCTGTGGACCTCCTGTCTCTTTCTCTTGGTTTCTCTCTCCGATTTTGTCCCTGCCTCTTGGTTTTCTGCTCTCTCTTGGACTCTGTGTCTTCCCTCTGGGCTATGTGTCTCTCTTTTTCTCCGCCATCTCTGTTTCCTGCCTCCTCTGTCTCACCTCTGCTTTGTATTTGCATGTGTCTGTCTCTCTTTCCTCTCTTTGTGTATCTCTGTCTGTCTTTCTCTGTGTCTCTGTCTTTTCCTGTGTCTCTGTCTCTGTTACTCTTTCTGTGTGTCACCATCTGCCTCCCGGTCTCTTTCTCACAGGCTGCCCGTCACTCCCATGTGGCTGTGGCCTGGGCCGGCTCCCTGGTGCTCATGGGTGGTGAGCTGGCTGATGGCTCCCTCACCAGCGATGTGTGGGCCTTCAGCCCCCTGGGCGGGGGCCACTGGGAGCTGCTCGCACCACCTGGCTCCAGTTCCTCGGGGCCACCAGGCCTGGCAGGTCACGCCGCCGCCCTAGTGGATGACATCTGGCTCTACGTGTCTGGCGGCCGCACCCAGCACGACCTCTTCTCCTCTGGCCTCTTCCGCTTCCGTCTCGACAGCACCAGTGGGGGCTACTGGGAGCAGGTGATTCCAGCAGGCGGGCGGCCTCCTGCCGCCACGGGCCACTCCATGGTGTTCCATGCCCCCTCGCGCACCCTGCTGGTTCACGGTGGACACCGGCCCTCCACCGCGCGGTAAGTGACCTGCCCTGCAGGGCCAAGCCTGTCCTGGGCCTTCAGTCTTTGCTGGTCTTCGCCCACTGATGTACTTCTGCAGTCATTCGGTCACTCACTAGGTCATTCAGTCCCTCACGTGCCCGCCCGCTCACTCATTCTCCATCCCTTCGTTCACTGTCTTGGCCAGTTCCTTCCCACACACTCCCACCCATCCATCCCCTCAGCCACACCCTGCTTGGAGGGCCAGCCCTGGCTAGATTATGCACGGAACCCAGTGATGAGCCAGAGCTGTGTCCTGCCCAGCAGGAGCCTCTCGTCCCAAGGGGACATAAACCCCGTCACAGCTGGTCTCACCCTGGGTGATCTCACAGCTCTTGAGAGCCCAAGGGAGGGAGAGAAGCCCTTCCTGCCCTGAGCTCCTCCCCTGCCGCTCCCTACAGGTTCTCTGTGCGGGTGAACTCCACAGAGCTCTTCCACGTGGATCGGCGCGTGTGGACCACGCTGAAGGGCCGGGATGGGCTCCAGGGCCCACGGGAGAGAGCCTTCCACACAGCCAGCGTCCTGGGCAACTACATGGTGGTCTATGGTGAGGAGGCTCCCTGATCCCGCCTGCCTGCCAGGGCCCCAAGCCCGCACTGAGCTGAGGCTCCCTGCACGGGTGTCCCCACGTCCGCCAGGCTTGCCAGCTGTGCCCCTTTCCTCCTTTCCTAGGGGGCAACGTGCACACCCATTACCAGGAGGAGAAATGCTATGAAGATGGCCTCTTCTTCTACCACCTGGGCTGCCATCAGTGGGTGTCGGGGGCCGAGCTTGCCCCCCCGGGAACCCCTGAGGGTGAGTGGCCCGTCCGTTTTCCTGAGGGGCTTCTGAGAGTCGCGCTTCCCTGACAGTGAATCTGGGCTTCAGGCAGGAGCCACCTCGGTCCTTGTAGGGTGAGCCAGACGTCCCTCTGGAGCTGGCTTCGGGCGGCAAGCCTGTGCTGGAGGCAGGACAGGGGCACCGTTGCCATGGAGACCGGAGGCAGTTACAGCAGCGCGGGTTTAGGCTCCAGTCCAGGTTTTACCAGTTTCCAGCTGCCCCAGCGAAGTGCCTACCTACGAGGGACCTTTTCAAGGTCCTGTAATGGGCAAGTGGCAGAACCAGGATGGCTGTCCCCAAACAACCATCTGTGCAAAAATATCATTTAATCACCCCATGCCTCAGTTTCCCCATCTGTAAAATGGGGATGACGGTAACACTTAACCCACTGGGCTGTTGTGAGAATGAATTGAGATGGCTCAAAGATGGAGACAGCCTAGCAAAGAGCTCAGTATGTTGTCTTGTACAGTCAGAATCCGGCCCCAGGACTTGCCTGGGAGGGGGGGTGGAGAAAACTTCAAACTCATTGAATCCGACTACTTTGAGAATCAGAAGAAAGCCACAGGCCCTCTCCTCAGAAAGACGCTTGTAACACAAACTGGGCATATTATTTCAGGGGGCTGTGGACTTCTAGGGGGCCCATCTATTCTCCCCGCCGCCCCCCCCCCCCCCCCCCCCCCCCACAGAAGAATGAGGACAGAGAACAAGCATAAGGAAAGGACATTGACACTTAAGGAGTAGGCTGGGTGAAGGGTTCCCCCACGGAACCCTATTTGACCATCAGCAATAAAGCCTTGGGCTGGCATTTGAGGCCTTGAATCCAGGGCTTATCTGCCTGTCCCTGTTTCTCCTTTGGGCCAAAGGCCTCTTCCTCCTTTGTAGTTTGCAAGTCCCCAGGCCAAGTCCCATGTGTTTACAGAGCATACATTTCCGTAAGAGGGTGAGGGATCACCGATCACTGACCACTTACACATCAGTCAGGACCCTTGGCTCTAAGTGACCAATCCAACCCAGCCAGCTCGAGCAAAACCCAAGTTCTTGGCTCATGTGAGTGAAAACTGGCTTCAGGCTGGTCTGGATCTGGGTGCTCACGTGATGGCATCAGCTAGCCCTTGTTTGAGCTCACTTCATTCTGTGGCAGGTTTGTCATTTGTAAATGGTCACCAGCAGCCCTGGGACTATATCTACTCCTTTGAAATGCCCAGAGGGAAGGGGCACCTGGGCGGCTCAGTCGCTTAAGCATCTGGCTCTCGATTTCCACTCAGGTCATGATCTCGTGGTTCGTGAGATTGAGGCCTGTGTCAGGCACTGTGCTGACAGTGCAGAGCCTGCTTGGGATTCTCTCTCTCTCCCTCTCTCTCTGTCCCTCCCCTGGTCGCACTCTCTCTGTTTTTCTTTCTCAAAGTAAAGAACGTTAAAAAAAATGTGTTTAAAATGCTCAGAGGGAAGAGGGTGCCTCTCTCCCAAGAATTGAAGGAACTGGGTCCTATTCCAGAACTTATTACTGACACTGATGGGCCTGGGCTAAGCCCCACTGCTGCCAGAGGCAGGGTCAGCTCAACTTGAGCCTGCGGACTCTAGTGCGAGAGGGTGGTTTTCCAGAGGAAAATCAGAGTTGTCACCAGAAGGGAGGCTGGTGCCAGATAGACAATACCAGGAGAGAGCCAGGCACCCTGCTTCGTGGCTCCCTGAGGGCAGGACAGTTCCATTTACAGAGGAAGAGACCAACTCAGAGAAGTTGAGTCTCTTGCCCAAGGCCACTCAGTAAGTTAGTAGTTGATCCATGACTTGAGCCCAAGTAGGTGGTAGACATAGGAATCGAAGCCAAGTTTTTCTGACCCCCAAGATCATGCTCTGTCTTCAAGGTGGTTTGCACAGTGGTGTGGAAGCTCTGGTAGGTGTGGGGCCAGACATGCTAGGAGGGCTTCCTTGGGCACGCTGGGTTAAAGCAGGAAGTAGCAGGTTGGGCTGAAGCATAGGAGAGTCGGGTAGTCCTCTGGACAAGGGAGCCGTGGTTAGAGGGACAAGGGAAGACTGGTTAGAGTCTCATGTCCTTGTTGGGGGGGGATCTGTATTCTCCTAGGCCGAGCAGCACCTCCCAGTGGTCGATACTCACATGTGGCGGCTGTGCTTGGTGGCAGTGTCCTGTTGGTGGCTGGGGGGTACAGTGGCCGGCCTCGTGGGGACTTGATGGCCTACAAGGTGCCTCCCTTTGTGTTCCAGGCGCCTGCTCCGGACGTGAGCACTGGGGTGATAGGGAGAGGGCGGCTGGGAAGGAGGTAGCATGGTTCCCATGGATGAGGGAGAAAGGTGGGGTGGGTCCCTGGGAGAAGGACGGGGGTCCCTAGAGATATGAGAGGAGGGAGGTTGGTCCCCAGGTTCAAGGGGGGAGGAACGGAGGTCCCTGGGGCTGAGGGCAGAGCAGATAGGGATCCCCAAGGTGCTGAGTGAGCAGTGGAGGCTCCCCGGGATGATCACAGGGAGTGGGGATGAGGGAGCAGGCTCCAGGTCTGAGGAGCCCCCTCTCCCACTCCCCGTCTCTGCAGTACCACTTAGACTACTGCTCCATGTACACGGACCACAGCGTCTGCTCCCGAGACCCTGAATGCAGTTGGTGTCAGGGGGCCTGCCAAGCTGCACCACCTCCTGGAACCCCGTCTGGGGCTGTGAGTGACCGTCCCAGCTCTGTCTCCTAGTGCAGAGACACGGCCGTCAGCGTCTCCCTCTGTCTAAACCAAGCAGAGAAGGACTTTCTCTCACTTGGGACACTTGTTTTCACACCTAAGATTGGCATTCCTGACCCCTCAACCTCTGACCCCTCCCAGCGCTTTTGAGCTTGTGACCCTGTCCCCAGATCCCTTAGCTCCTGTCCTGTTGCTCTTCCTCATTCCAAGTGGCTTTCAAGTCCCTTCTCTAATTTCCTGGCGCCTTCCACCCCACTACTCCTGAATCTACAGTCCTTTCCAGATCCTTTAAGCCCCTGTGGACAGTAACCCCTGTCCCCTCCCCTCCCTGTAGTGTCCAGCTGCCAGCTGCCTGGGCCTGGGCCGCCTTCTGGGTGACTGCCAGGCCTGCCTGGCCTTCAGCGGCCCGACAACTCCTCCCCGGGGGCCCGGCGCTCTGGGCTGGTGCGTGCATAATGAGAGCTGCCTCCCTCGGCCTGGTGAGTGCCCATTGGCAGTGTGGGAGGGGGCGGCACAGCGCCCCATGCTGACCTTCCCTCCCCCCCCAACCCCGGTCCTCACAGAACAGGCCCGCTGCCGAGGGGAGCAGATCTCAGGCACCGTGGGCTGGTGGGGGCCTGCGCCTGTCTTCGTCACATCCCTGGAGGCCTGCGTCACCCAGAGCTTCCTGCCTGGCCTGCACCTGCTCACTTTCCAGCAGCCGCCCAACGCCTCCCAGCCCGACAAGGTGGGGAGCCAGGGGGTGGGGCCCAGCGTGGAGTGTTGAAGGGTCTGGTCCTGGGGTTTTCGTTTTTCAAATGGTTCTCTACAGCTCTTGTGTTTGCCTCATAAGTCTCTACATTCAAGGGTCCGATTTTTAAAAATTGTGCTAAAACACACAGTGTAAAATTTTACATAGTGTAAAATTTACCAGCACTGATATTAAGCACATTCACAATATTGTGCAACTATCACCACCTGGTTCCAGAACAGTTTTGTTACCCTGAAGAGAAACCCCAGATCCTTAAGTAATCCCTCTCTATTCCCCCTCTCCCCCTGGCCCCTGGCCAGCCACTAACCTTTTACTGGTTAGTGGTTGACAGTCTACTAACTCTGGATTTGCCAACTGTGGATATGCCTTATAAATGGAATCATACACGTTGTCTTCTGTGTATGGCTTTTTTCACTTAAAGTAGCGTTTTCAGTGTTCATCCATGTTGTAGCATGCCTCAGAATTTCGTTCCTTTTTATGGGTGAATGATATCCTCTTGTATGACTGTGCCAATCCATTCATCAGCTGATGGCTGTTTATACCTGTTGGCTATTGGGAATAGTTCTGCTGTGAGCATTCATGGATAAACCATTTTGCATACATATTTGCTTTTTTTCAACTCATTTTTTAATGTCTATTTATTTTTGAGAGAGAGAGAGAGACAGAGCGTGCATGGGGGAGGGCAGAGAGAGAGAGAGAGGAAGACACAGAATCTGAAGCAGGTTCCAGGCTCTGAGCTGTCAGCACAGAACCCGACACGGGACTCGAACTCAGGAGCCGTGAGATCATGACCCGAGTTGAAGTCGGACACTTAGCCCCCTGAGCTGCTCAGGCGCCCCCATGTTTGCTTTTAAAAAATATTTTATTTTTTTTAATTGAAGTATAATTGGCATACAATATTATGTTAGTTTTTTTGTTTTTTGTTTTTTGTTTTTTTAATTTTTTTTTCAACATTTTTTATTTATTTTTGGGACAGAGAGAGACAGAGCATGAACGGGGGAGGGGCAGAGAGAGAGGGAGACACAGAATTGGAAACAGGCTCCAGGCTCCGAGCCATCAGCCCAGAGCCCGACGCGGGGCTCGAACGCACGGACCGCGAGATCGTGACCTGGCTGAAGTCGGACGCTTAACCGACTGCGCCACCCAGGCGCCCCAATGTTAGTTTTTAACGTAGAAAAGAATGATTTGAAATTCGTATGTATTGCAATAAACACCTATTGTCAGCTCTTTTGGGCTTATATCCAGGAGCAGAATTGCTGGGTCATATGGTGATTCAATGTTTAGCTTATGCAGGAACCACCAAATTGTTTTCCGCAGTGGCTACTTCTTGATTTTTAAAAGTTGTATGGTTAGGGGCGCCTGGGTGGCGCAGTCGGTTAAGCGTCCGACTTCAGCCAGGTCACGATCTCGCGGTCCGTGCGTTCGAGCCCCGCGTCGGGCTCTGGGCTGATGGCTCGGAGCCTGGAGCCTGTTTCCAATTCTGTGTCTCCCTCTCTCTCTGCCCCTCCCCCGTTCATGCTCTGTCTCTCTCTGTCCCAAAGTAAATAAAAAACGTTGAAAAAAAAATTTTAAAGTTGTATGGTTAAAAAATCACAATGATGTAAAAAGTTGTTAAGCAAAAAGGGTCTCCATCTATCCTGCTCCCTATCTAGAGCAGTATGGGAAGCTCTCCCTAGCATCTCCCCAACTTAAGACCACCCTGACTCTTCCTGGAAGATCCATTTGGATTTCTTTTATATCCTTGCAGAGTCTGCCTATTCAGATACATGTGAATGTGACATTGAATTATTTTTCTTTCTTGCACAAAAAGTAATATTCTTTTATTTATTTTTTTAAAAAAAGTATTTATTTATTTTGAGAGAGAGAGTGAGCGAGCACATGCACTCGCACGAGCAAGAAGGGGGCAGAGAGAGAGAGAGAGGGAGAGAGACTCCCAAACAGGCCCCGCACTGTCAGTGTGGAGCCCGACTCGGGTCTTGATCTCATGTGAGATTGTGACCTGAGCTGAGATCAAGAGTCAGACACTTAACTGACTGAGCCACCCAGGTGCTCCTTCCTTTTATTTCTTAATTTTTTTTAATGTTTATTTATTCTTGAGAGAGAGAGAGAGCCTGAGTTGGGGAGAGGCAGAGAGAGAAAGAGGGAGACAGAATCTGAAGCAGACTCCAGGCTCTGAGCTTTCAACACAGTCAGGCTTGAACTCATGAACTGCAAGATCATGACCTGAGCCAAAGTCGGACGCTTAACCGACTAAGCCATCCAGGAACCCCATTCCTTTTGTTTCTTAACATATCCTGGCAAGCTCCTTAGAGTTTAGAAAATACCTCATTTTTTTGTTTTGTTTAAAGCTTTGTTATAGTCCATTTAGATTCTAGGGCCGTAGTGCTGCAGTTTATTTAAACAGCCTCCCATTGACGAACACATGGGTTATTCCATTCTTTTGCAATTATAAAACACACGCTAACAAATTACGTAGTGTGTCTGTCACTTTGAATGTTGGATCTGGACTCTTCTTCTTCTTTTTTTTTTTTTAAACTTATGTACTGGTTTGTTGTATAACAGAGAACACGTTACAGAGGGCGAGGCCCCGAAGGGCTGTGAGCGAAGGAGCTCTGTCCTCATGGAGCTGGGGTGCCACCCCTCGCTGGCGTGGATGTGTTCACTAACCTGGAAGTTCTCCAAACCCTGTAGTTAAGGGACTTAAAAAAAAAATCTGGACTCTTTAAGGGTTTAGGTGGAAAGGTGAACTGTCAGGGAAGAGGCTCCTGAAAGGACTGGGGTCCTGGATTTTACTGAGAGAAGTGATGAGCAGAGGCCGGGACCCTGTTGTCTGTTGTCTGAGTTGAAGTCCCAACTCAGAGTGCCCCTGGCCTCGGTCTCATGTTTCATAAAATAGGGAAGGAGGTTGGGTGTGGACACCGAGGGGCCATGCAAAGAGACACTCACACATCCCCTTCTCCCTGGCTGGCACAGGTCCTGATTGTCCGCAGTACGACCATCACTCTGACGCCCAGCCCAGAGACCGACGTGTCCCTGGTCTACCGTGGCTTCATCCACCCACTGCTGCCAGGAGGGCCCGGGGGGCCGGGGGCTGAGGATGTAGCTGTGTGGGCCCGGGCCCAGCGTCTACATGTCTTGGCCCGGATGGCCCGTGGCCCTGACACAGAGAACATGGTGAGGGTGCTTGAACGTTCAGGGGGGCTGCTAATTATAAGTATGGGGGCTGGGGTATATAGTGCCAGGGGAAGACTAGGGAAAAATCAGAGGCATGGGATATATCCTTAGTGGAGGGAGGCCCTGGGGTTTTCAGTTATGAGTGGAGTTTGGGGGAAATTTTGAAGAAGGTGGGGAACGTCTGAGTTATTAAATCCGATTTCCCTGAGGTGGGTTGTTGGAGGGTTTAGGGGTTCGCAGGGGTTCTTGGGGTGTAAGGAACTCTGAGGCCCTCTTCCCAGGATGGAGGTGAGTGCTAGGTGGGTTTGGGGCTCTTGGAGGTTTCAGGGGTTAGGGTGGCACTGGAACATTCCGAGGCCCCTGTCTGTCCCCCACCCCTACCCAGGAGGAGGTGGGGCGCTGGGTGGCTCAGCAGGAGAAGGAGACAAGGCGGCTGCAGCGCCCGGGGTCTGCTCGCCTCTTCCCACTGCCTGGCCGGGACCACAAGTATGCGGTCGAGATCCGGGGCCAGCTCAATGGCTCGGCAGGCCCTGGGCACAGTGAACTTACCCTGCTGTGGGACCGGACCGGCGTGCCAGGTGGCAGCGTGAGTACCCAGGCCCTGGCCTCTGACCCTTCACCCAGGCCCTGACTTTCTGAATGCCAGAGCACAAATTCTAACCCTCTTGACCTGACCTCTTACCCCTTGACTCTTGAACTCTGGGCCTCACCTTGAGCCCTCTAGGCCCCAACCTCCGACCCCCAGACTCTGACCTGATCTCACATTCTGACTCCTGCCCTGACCCCACTGGCCCTGACTTCTGCCCTCTCTACTTTGACCTCTAATCTCTAGATTCTCTCAAACCCTGATGCCCTCTTGTCTGCTCATCCTAAATCCTGACTTTCTACATGCTTAAGTTCTCAACTTTGTCTGCAGACACTGAAGTCTGTAGCCCCAAACCCTGACCCCTACCCCCAACCTCGACTCTTGCCCTGTGACTCGGAGTGTGGACCCCTGATCCTAACGTGAGCACTTCCCGCAGGAGATCTCCTTCTTCTTTCTGGAGCCTTACCGCTCTTCGGCCTGTTCGTCCTACTCCTCCTGCCTGGGCTGCTTGGCGGACCAGGGCTGCGGCTGGTGCCTGACCAGCGCCACCTGCCACCTGCGCCAGAGCGGGGCCCACTGCGGGGACGACAGGACCGGCGGGTCCCTGCTGGTGCTGGTGCCTGCCCTCTGCCCGCTCTGCGAGGAGCATCGTGACTGTCACGCCTGTACCCAGGTGCCTGCCAAGCCACAGAGGGGAGGTCTCGAGACAAAAGCAGCCAAATCGGGCGACTGGGAAAGGGGGAGGGCCCCCTGGAGTTGGTACGGGCATCCGAGGGGTCCCCCTGGGGGCAGTGGCAGGAGGCAGGTGGAGCTGTTGTCTTTGATCTACCGTTGAGAGCCGGGTGGGGAGCAGAGGAGAGGGGCTGGAGAATGGGCTCCCGGCAGTCAGGACTCTCTCTGTTGTCACTGCCAGAAACCCAAGTTGGTACCTCCTTACCAGAGGAGCATTTATGGGCTCAGGCTCCGGGGTCCAGGAGTAGGTCTTTAGGCCTGTGATTCAGACCGTGTCGTCAGGCATCCACCTCCCTTCATTCTATACCCTTGCTTCCCTGGAGGTTCATTCCTCAGGGGTTGCAAGGGATTCACAAGGGCTCCAGACCGTTGTCCCCCCCCCCCACTCAGCTACCCGCGTCCTAA